TATAGCAAGCAAATATTTCAAACAATTCCTGTGAAAATTCACCCAGGAGAAGAAACAAGTGAATTACCTTTTGCTGCAATCATAACTCATTTGTGATTGCTTTTTTGGTTTTTTTGCAAAAATTCTACTGAATGCATTTCCTGGCTGGGGCATCTATGAATGTGATTGTAACAAATATAATAAAAATGTATGGGAAAAAGTCCTGGAATGTGAAAATGCAAACGCTTGCACTGGAAACTGATTTAAAGAGACTCCTCACCCACTCACAACACAAAAAAAGGATTGCAGGACTTTGTATCCACCTTGAATAGGCATTGCCTTCAGCCTGGATCATAACACAATGAATACTGGCTACCCACAAGGAAATCTTAGCAGATAAACAACTATTTAGGGACATTTCTTGGTGAATAGTGCTAAAGGCTGGAAGCATTTGAGACTAATCAGAGCTTTCCAGCGGCAATTTGTAAGCAGAAAAAGAGGTTCAATTTGTCCAAACATGGTTGACTCTGAATAGTTTTCTTAGCTAGGCTCGTAACGGTCAGTGAATAGTCAGTGTGACTTACTGATTACCTGTGCTTTCCAAATCTCATGTGTTATGCAGTGTGAGGAACTTAGTATATCAGTGATTTATGAACCCGAGGTAGCGTGCAAAGCATGCTCTTGTCACTTGAATTTACATATGCCTTTTGCAGAAGAAACAAAGTGCATCTTGCTGCAAATTAATTTTAGACAGGTAAATACTGGCTTTGTTCAGCTAACTGACATCTAGCAATGCAGAAAGAAAGCTTGCTGGGAAGCATGCAACTTCCATGACAGTGGCAACAGTCCTCCATGGTGTTTATCTGTTTGTGTTCTGCTGTGTACAAAACTCAGGTCTTGAAAGAGTCCATCATGAAGAACATGCTGTACAAATAAAATTGAACTGGAAGCAAGACTGATAACATTTGCCCTGCTTTCTGCAGCACAAATCAGGTTGAAGTCTACAGTGTATATGTGAGGATTTTTTCTTCTACCCAAAATGTACATGGCACTGTTCACTTTCATCATTATTTGGAGATTTGGTTTTTTTGGCTTTCTTTAAGTACTCCTTTTTATATATTATTTATTACATGCTATTTTGGAAGTGCTAAGTGCGTCCAGTTTGTGGAGAAAAGCTCAATTTGAAGTCATCGTGATCTATGATCGTCAGCAGAGAAATAATAGAGGCGACATTCCCATGAAGTCAGGGCTGTGTGATGATCTCTTCGGATGGAGAAGAAAGTAGTGCATAGAGTATCAAAGTCAACATGCAGCTATATTATCTCACACGTTCTTTAGGCGTTCACTGCAAAAGCATCAAATTGTCTTATGGGAATGATGTGTGTATTGAGAGGGAAATGTCTCCTGTGCATTCAAATCCTTTGTAACAAGGGAGACGGGGAGTAGTGTAGGAGCCGTACCAGGAGATGGCATCATCCAGGTTTCAGATCCTTTTTCCTCCAATCTTTACTGTGCCAGCCTGGATGAAGTACCTGGTGTTTTGGTTCTTTATTCATCTGTAAAATGAGTAAAACACTCCCCTGCCTCATGAGAAGGCAGGGTTCTGGAGCTGCGTTCACTGCTGGATATTGAAATCCCCAATCAATCAATAGGGAGGCTCACAGGTTTACCATGTTTTCATCTGGATACGGGATTACAACTCTTCCAGGAGTAGTCCCTCCAGAGTTTGTTTTTAGCCTTTCAGTGACCGATGCAAAATAATCCTGGTTTCTTACAACAGAGCCACAGGACATAACTTTTGAATAATTACAACTTTAAATGTCGTTCTCTCACCATTCGCTATGGCCCAGATGCTTTAAGCTATTTATTCACCTCATACCGATTAACTTCAACTAAAGACCTTGAGAATCTGGGCATTATGCCAGAGGATCTGGTTTTCTCACATCTTGAATGTATTTATCCTCACAGTGTCCCCCGGACATAGGGAAGTAGGTACTTCCTACAGGTGGGAAACTGAGGACTAGATTTTTAAAGCTATTTAAGGGCATAAAGATGCACTTTGGTGCAGAGGGGGATTTTTTAACAGCATCTAAATGCTAACTCCGAGGGATTTCAGAGGGTAAGGATTGCACAGGGGGAGAAAGCTGGACCTCCTCGGGCGCTCAGGTCATGGAGGAAACTGGTGGCAGAACCAGACACCGGACCTGAGTCTCCCAACTAGCATCATAATCCCTTCCTCCCTGTTTCATAAAGCAATTGCTTGCACTCCAGTGCTCTTTGGAAACAGCTCTCCGGGTTGCATTGTTTCTTCCAGCTGTCCAAAATATTATTCAGCCAGCTGGCTTTCCTCATCGCAGCACAGCGAACTGTGTTTCCCTTCTTTAGGTAGGTCCAAGATAGCACAGGCCCTTCCTGCATCCACTGGCTTCTGCTCCACCCTGAGGTTTAAAACAGGAATTCAGATAACATCCTCGACATCGGTTCTGTTTCTTTCATCCCAGAACCAGCCACGAGGTGCAGCATCCAAGAAGAGAAGGGGTTTAGCAGGTGACTCGAGGGGCAAGGGGGCAACCAAAGTGAAATCCACTTTCAATGGAAGTGTGACATTGGATCAACACAGCTGAGCCTCAGAAACTTTCAAAGCCTGGCCCCCAAGTCCCTCTTTCTAGTGATGTGTGCCCAAAATTGTAACAAAAATCATGTTCCCCTTAACTTGTGCTAAGGAACTGTGCAATGTCAGCACTATGCAGAAAGGCAATGGGCTTCCTGAGAAATAGGGATGTTATTCTGACCTTGTGATCAATTTAGTGATAGAATATTCACAGAATCCTAGAAAACGAGGCTGGAAGGGACCTCAGGAGGTCACATCTAGTCCAACCCCCTGCTCAAGGCAGGACCAGCCCCAACTAGATCATCCCAGACAAGGCTTTGTCTAGCCAGGTCTTAAAAACCTCCAAGGATGGAGATACCACCACCTATCTGGGTAACCTGTTCCAGTGTTTGACTGACTACCCTCCTAGTGAGAAAGATTTTCCTAATATCTAATCTAAACTTCCCTTGCTGCAACCTGAGACCATGAAGTGCACAGCTGGAATAAGTTGGTCTGTTTTCACCTTGGGAAAGGAAATCTCTGCTTTGCAAAGCACCTGTGCTGCCAGGGCCGTGGGCAGCTAGTAATTAAGTTTTCAGAGAGAACATGGCAACAATCCAGAACAGATGCGGGGGGGGGGGAAAGGAGCAGAGTTGACACGTTGTATTAAAAAATGCCTGGAGGGGAGAAAACAAATGGAGCCTTTCCAAATTAAAAGAGAAGGTTAATAGTAGGGTGCTACAGGGATCAAGGTTGGTGGTTACAACCTTTTATTAGCCTGATAAGTGACTTGGATGATGGGCTTCAAAGCCAATGATTTAAGATTTATAAATGTTATTTAAGTGGAAAGTACAATATTTAATGGACTATACATTCACCTGTATTATTTAAGTACTTGGGCCTATGAATGGCAGTTACTATTCATTGTAGCTCGATGCAAAAAACAAAAGTGGGAGTATTTAAACAAGGGGAAATAGCTGCCAAAGGGAAAAGTGCTGTCTCCTGCTAGCTCAAAATGATGTGATAGCAAGAGTTGTCTGAACCCAGAAACTCCGTCCTGCAGGTACCTGAAGTCAATCCATATTATGACGTAATTTCTAGGGTGGATATACAATGTAAAGGAAAAAAGTGACTGATGTGTATTGGCAAGCAACATGACCTCTTTGAGTAACATGGCAGCAGAACAGAAAAAGAAAGGCCATCCAACTGAAGTGCTAACTGCTGTGTAACAGCTTCCAAAGACAGAATCATTGCTGGTGTGGAGTGAAGCCAGTGGACTTGTACCCACAGGCAATGTCGCACATAAAGTGCATAAGTACCTTACTGGCGTATGCGAATGAGAGAAGCTGGTATAATGGGTTATGGTAGAGATAATGCCCAGTTGCTGCTGCTGTAGGTAGTGCAATCACTGTCCAGTGGCTCTTCATTGTGCTTCAGATGCTAGAAATGAATGCCTTGTGCTGCTATAAAGGGTGGGACTGACGGCAGACACAGCTCAGGTACAAATTTACTGTTTCCTTAGGGCAACTTGTGGTAAGTCTCTCCTAGCTACTTTATCAACGGTCTTGTCAGGATTAGGCCACAGTACCAATCAGAAATATGTAGTCAACCTCCCTTGTAAGCACCATGGGGTGTGAAGAGACCCTGGGCCTCTTCTCGTCATCCCCTCTTCCTTTGCATCCAGGCATGTTCTCCTTACCCCTTTGGCACTTCAGCTTTGTCTCCAGCTGACATCTCCCATCTCCTCCTCACAATTCCTCCTCTCCCTACACCATTTTAGTCCATGTATTCCCCCTTCACATCTTCCTCTCCAATGCATCTTTCTGGTCCACTTTTAATCAGTTAGCCCCAAACTGATCATTACAACAAGTCCGTCTGAGCCCACCTTACCACCCCGAGTGATCTTTTGCCTCTAAACTCTTCCCACCACATTTCTTGCCATTCTTTGAACCCTGGGAAGCCAGCCAGAAACAGGGGGTTTCTAATCAAGCATCTGCTTACCCATTCCTTTCCCTTTCCTATGCCCACCTGCTTTGGGGAGAACGTAAATGGGTAACTATTGTGCATAAGCCCTTCCATGCAAGTTCTCAGATTTTAGATGGCTCATTTCTCTCTGGTCATCTAGGGAGTTCCCAACCTCCTTCATGGATGGGGAGCACTTGTTACAGTCTACAGTCATAGGAAATAGGAAGGAGAAAAACAGATGGGGCAGATAAAGAAGTCTTATCATTGCATAGTTTTGTTAGGAAGTTATATATCTTTATCAGTTCAGGAAATATGAGTTGGCAGTCCACAGAGTGATGAATAATGATGGGCAATGACTGCACGGAGATATCCTATTTATATTGGCAAAGCGCCACTTTCATTATTAACACTGAGCCTTGCAGATCTGGAGACAGTGCTGTGAAATGATTGTTTGCTTTATTTTTAGGGTAGAAGAAAGTTTTAAAACCTTATTCTGGTCAATATTTGGCTTGTCTGAAGTGATATCAGTGGTGCTGAAGTATGATCATAAGTTTATTGAAAATATTGGATATGTTCTCTATGGAGTTTATAACGTTACCATGGTGGTGGTGCTGCTTAATATGTTAATAGCCATGATCAACAACTCCTATCAGGAAATTGAGGTAAGATAAGCAATTTGATTACTCTCTATATATAGTTTTAATTGACTGCCATGTTATAAAAATCAGGAAGTGGACGGGTCCAGCGTGTAAAATGTCAGAGTATAACAGAAGGCTATTGCTTTTAAAATTATGTGGCAACCAAAAAATCTCTCACCTGGTATTAGATGTAAGCAAATTATTCACAGTGACTTATTTAAATAAGGAATTCAATATCCTTTTATTGGTTGAACATCTGTGACTGGATCACAATTTTCTAAGATTTGTACATTATTAAAAGTAGTTCACAATTTTTTTTAATTCTCTCTATTGGTCATAAGCACTTCTTGGACTATTGCCTTCAAAGCATCTGTTGGTTAATTGTGATTAGTCAGATTGATCACATGGCATTTTTAACTTGTTTCCGACTGGCTGAGTGCACAGGCCTATCTTCTTCCTATACTCTTCTATGCAGATTTAAAATTAAAATTATATTCACAAAAGATAGGTGCGCAATCTTGACATTCATTTTCTGTGAACATTTGTGCCAGCAAAACGCAGTTGTGTTTATGGTGACAAAAAGTGGACACAAAAGGGGCATGAGCACAATAATTATTAAAACCTATATCTATATTTATATCTATATCACTATTGGCAGACATTTATTTGTGGTTTTCAACCAACTCTGCCCAGTCTTGTCCACATCAGCAGACTGGATTTGCTTATTTGGATAAAAATAGAGAAAAACAGATTTTTGTTCAGATAAATAAAACAAGAAGAATGATTAATGCCTGGGCACTTGTCAGTGCTGATTCCTCTCTTTTTTGTCCCAGTTTCATGAATGTCAAGTTACTATAGTTGAATCTGTATTAATTAGCTGCTCTAATCTTCCCTCAGAACCCAAATATGCAAAAGGCCAGGGCTGCATATATTTCCTTGGTGTAATGCTTGAGTACTTATGCACAGCAGTGAAAATATTACATGGATTCCTGTGTATGCGGCAATTAGGTTGAAATGTCAGAGCTACCTTACTTTTGTACCCTTTGCCCTGCATGCAGATGACCCCATCAAGAAAATCATTCTAGCTGTCAGATAAGAGGAGCATTTTAATCAGTATCTTATCAGTATCTCATTAAAAAAGATAAGAACCAAGGTTTTATCAGAAACAGCTCCAACATCGCCAATCAGAAACAACTCCAAAAGCCAAACGGCCAAAGTCAGCATAGCTCCATTCAAGCCAATAGAAATGCACTGCTGTAAAGGAGGGGAGAATTAGGCTCAATGCCTTCATTTGTAACAGGCCCTTTTCTGCCAACGTAGCGGTTTCATCAGAGCTATACACTGATGAGAGAGCATGCATTATTCATGTTACCGTAGCACAGATGTATTGGCAAAACTCTTTTTCCCATTGATATTACTGTCTGCTTTATATACCACAATGAAAACAGCTGTAGAAAAGCTACAAGATCATCCTCTCTTGCCCAGCAAATGATCCTGCTATGAGGTCCTGAGCACAGAAGAACTAAATACAGTTATAAATGCCACTCAGATTCATACAGACTGCACTAACCTTGCATTTGCCCTCAGGAAAGTTCTTGATGTCTTGCCTCTCTTTGACAATCTAATAAGGGGATATCATCTTTACTGAAAAACGGATGTGTTTATATGGTATGTGAGAGATCTGAACCAAAATATAATGGAACAGGACAAGGAATATCATTAGGACCAAAAAAAGGAATCAGCTGGTATAGGCTATTCTAGTTTTCGTTTACTGGAAAACATGAGAAGCCTGAGCTGCTATTTGGGAATTTTTAGTGAATCAAACGATAGGTACTTAGGCATCAAATATCTCTGTACTTAATTAGAAGCATGAGTCATTATTAAATGATAATGTCAAGATTGCTTCTTTGTTGCTTGGTACTGAAAATACACCCATGTATTTGGCCAAGCTCAAAATATGGAACGTGTTTTATGGGTGCTTCATTTACTGAAGATGTCCTTGCTGTCCAAAGAAAGAGGACCATGGTCCTGAATGGAAAAGGACAGAGGTATTTCACATCCTACATTTTTTACCAGAATTCTTGCCATCTCTTGGCATTCTGAATCCGCACAACACGGCTTTTTTGGGTTGCATCGAAGTTATCAGCAAGGTGGCTGTAGCCATGCTTCCAATATGCAAAGAGAAACAGAACACAGCACCTATAGGCTGACCACAGCAAGCTTGTTTTCAGGAGACCCGGTACAGCACTTGTTAGGGTCAACTGAATCCAAAATGTGACATATGTAAGATATGTAAGGGTAGTCCCAACATGTCTATAACTAGGTCCCCCATTGCCCTATGTGAGTGGTACAATAGGGAAGAAATAACACCCTGAAAAATCTACCACACTCAACTATTCACCTGTTCTCCTCATTGCCATTACACCCTGCTCTCTATATGCTGTTTCCCTGTAGTACAGTCCTTTCTTTTCTTTCTTTTTTTTTTGGCCACTCTCCTCTTTTTTTCTCACAAATATTCCTGCAAGGAAACTGCAGACACATTAACTGTTGAGTCTAACTGATCTCTCCAACCCCTTTCTTAACTGGCACCTCCCACAACTTGCCCATTAGCCAACCTAGAAGGAAGGTGACATTCGATTCAGAAGGTCACTGAGTTTCATGCTCACCCTGTCAGGGTTGCCCAGGTGCTCTGTTTGAATCCTGCCAGCTCCAAAGGTGTTCTGAGGAGCTTGGGAGGTTTTCAAACAGCATCTCATTTAATCGGAAAAAAATCCATGAGGCCTGGTAGGAAGGATAGTTATCCAATATTTATATTTAGTTTCCCTGAGCTCCCTCTGAAAGACAGCAATAGGCCTGTCTAAGGCACTGGGCACAGGGGCCTTCCCCTGTTTTTTGGCAAACATCATCATCAAGGAGAAGGCTGGGTACATAGTATGGATACCTCCCCCTACACCGGGGGTGGGCAAAACGTGGCCCACAGGCCAGATGTGGCCTACCAGGCCATTCTATCTGGTCCACGGTGCCCCTAAAAAATTTAGAAAATTAATATTTATCTTCCCTTGGCTGCCTGTCATACAGCCCTCAACAGCTTGCCAAAACTCAGTAAGCAGGCCTCCGTCCGAAATAATTGCCCACCCCTGCACTACACCCTGAGCCGGACCCGCTGCTGAAGATGGACATAGAGGATAAGTTGGTTCCTTCTCAGCTTCCTCTGCTGCACTAAGGCAGACCTGTCAGGGGTGCTGGATCCAATGGCTTCTCCTTCCTTCCATCAACTGTGCTGCTTAGAAGCAGCCCAGGAGAAAGCAGCTGCCTGACTTCATCATTCACTTGGCTCGGAAGCTCAGACCGTGGCTGTCTTCTTCCTCTGTCACTGTGTTGCCACTGGCTGTTGGCCTCTGTCTCCTATGGTCCCACATATGCCCCACTTCACTTTCCCCCTTGAAGCCCCACTAAAAAACTCCCCACACTCCAGAAGATTATTTAGGTGCACAATATGTACATAACAATATAGACATAAACAATAGGCCTGTGCGAGTTGGCAGCAATCCAATCCGGCTTCAGATCAGTCATTTTGGATGGCAGCGATCCAATCTGGAGCTCCAGACCGGGTTTCTGCTTCAATCTGGTTGAAGCAGCTCCAAAGCCTCGGAGATCCTACCAGAGGGTATAATGGGGAATCAACAAAATATCTATTACTTTGTTGGTTTTTGTCTGACTTGGATGAAACTTACAGGAGTGGTAGCTTCTGTTGAGAGCATGAATCCTGCCAAGTTTCAAGAAGATCGGTGCAGAGGTTTGGGGGGAAGTGTACCCCAAATTCTTGAAAGCAAAACTCATGTCACGTCTGTGGGTTACACCACAGGGCGGGAAATACTGCAGGGATGGTGGCCACAAAGTCTGCCAAGTTTCAAGGAGATAAGTGCAGGGTTTGGGGGGAACTGCACCTTAAGCTGCAGACAAGCAAGGCTTGTGACATGGGTGACATTGTGTGTGTTAAGGCGCAGTGGGGTGGCAGGCTGCGGCCACAAAGCCTGCCAGATGTCAAGAAGATCGGTGCAGGGGTGCTGGGTTCTGGGGCCCTGTACCCCTAGCTGCTGACAGGCAAAACCCGTGTCATGGGTGCTTGTGCAACTGACTGTCTCTGTCTTGGGGTAGTTGATTGTCTGTATTGATTCTTTCCTCTCCTTAGCCTGGTTTTGTAGGTGCTAATTGATGGTAATCAGCTGGTTACATTAGCCAGCAACTGTGTATTGAGCTGGCCCCTGAGTGAATCATGGTTGATTGGTAACTGGTAGCACAGTAGCTTAGCACCCAGAACTGCAGTAGTGTCTCCCACACCCAAAGACAGAGACAGTCAGTTGCACAAGCACCCTTGTCATGAGTTTTGCCCATCAGCAGCTAGAGGTGCAAGGCCCCAAAACCCCCCTGCACCAATCTCTTCGACAGTTGGCAGGTGTTGTGGCCGCAGCAGGGACCATCATCCCTGCAGCTTTCACCCTGTTGCACCCTAACACACACAGTGTCACCCATGTCATGAGTTTTGCTTGTCTGCAGCTTGAGGTGCAGTTCCTCCAAACCCCTGCATGTATCATCTTGAAAATTGGCAGGCTTTGTGGCCTGAGCAGGGGCCAGCACCCCTGCAGTTTTGACCCCCCTTTGTTGTAACACGAAGATGTTACAGGAGTTTTGCTTTCAAGAATTTGGGGTGCAGTTTCCCCCAAACCCCTGCACTGATCTTCATGAAACATAGCAGACCTCATGCTCTCTGAAAAGTCTACCAACCCTTGCAAATTTCATCCAAGTCAGACAAAAAACAACAAAGTTATAGATATTTTATTGTTTCCCCATTGTACCCTATGGCCAGATCTCCGAGGCGGCTCCGAAGCTCTTCCGACCACTTTCACAGTTTCGAAGCTCCAAACTACTTCAGAAAGCCTAACAAAACCAGCACTTCGATCCAGACATGCTGCTTTGGATGCCGAAGCATCCAAAGCTTCTCCAGATCCAAAGCATGGTCCAAGGCCTTGCACAGCCCTAATAAGCAATCTACTCACGTCAAAGTTGGAGCAGGGAGAAGGGCCTTGGGAGACCAGACTCGTACTCAGTCCATCGAAGTGGTCTCTGCTCCTTAGTCTCACTGCCACTGGAACAATGTTGGCACATTCCTACCTCGATACTGATGCTGCTCTTGTTTTTATTTCCCATCTCTCAGGAGGATGCAGATGTGGAGTGGAAGTTTGCGCGTGCCAAACTATGGCTCTCATACTTTGACGAAGGAAGGACTCTACCTGCTCCTTTCAACCTAGTGCCAAGCCCTAAATCCTTTTATTATCTCATAATGAGAATCAAAATGTGCCTCATAAAACTCTGCAAATCCAAGGCCAAAAACTGTGAAAATGATCTCGAGATGGGCATGCTCAATTCCAACCACCGGGTAAGGCACTCACCTCTTTGCTGTTCATGTTCTTTGACGGTGGACCGTGGCATTCTCCAAGGATAATAGGGGAAGTATCCTTAACTCAAAAGGGCTGCATGGCATTTTAGTCAAAGCTATTTTTCTGTATTATTTGTATGACAGCAACCCCCAGAGGCCCAGCCAAAATTGGGACCTCTTTTTACAGGCACCTGCTAAAATACTTGCGATCTATATAAACTCTGATAGGAAACTGATGAAGTGACTTATTCAAAGGCCCAGGCAGTAAGCCAGTGGTGGAACAAAGCCTAGAAGCCGGGTTCCTTCACTTTAAACCACCAGCAGACCATGCTGCCTCTTTTATGTCCAGCTTCCTTTCACCATCGCCCTAAATCAATTTTATAGTCACTATGTGAAAATCAGCATTTCCCTGCCGAGTCTGATTGCACCTTTGTTGGGAGCCACAGTCTGGACGGGGACTATTAATTTCTCCTGAGGACCTGAAGCTGCAATTACTGACCTCTCCCCCCCTTCATCTCTCACAGAAACAGATAGGTCCTTCCTCACCTGCCATCTGTTCACTGTTTTGGAATAGATGGGTGCTTTGGGAAAGCACAAATTTGCTGCCTGCCAAATGGCACATTTCAGAAAGGTGAAGGAGCCTCCTCCCAAGCACCAAGGAGCTTCTGCATGATAAAACAGGTCTTAGAAATCAGATGCTTTCCAGCAGAACCGGCTTGCCTTGCCCCTGAAAAAAAAAAAGTGTCAGTGTAATCAGAGAGCACTCTCTCCCATGGAAATGATTATTTTCAGGAACTGTTCCTAGGGTCATTGGGACAAAATGTTCCTGGCAAGTTGATTGGAATTACAAAAAAATAAAAGAAAAAAGAAAAACCCACCAAAGTAAATCTGTTCCTTCCCCTCGTGGCATTTCTCTTGCTTCACAGTGAAATGCCTGAAGCTTTTCAGCACACAGTTCAGCTGCAGCTGCTCTACCCTGGCCGTCAAATCCAGCAAACAGAAGCAGGCAGTGAGACAGCTTTGTTTAAGCTGTACTAGCCGTGGCTTTCATTTCCCCTGCTCAAACGGGAAGAGGAGATTGGGAAGTGGTCCCTGGAAAGGTGTGTTTCAGGGTTTGGCAGGAGTGGGGGAGGAAGGGGTAACATCACTTCCCATGCTGGAGGCTCAAGTGATGTTCCTCAGCAGCGCTGCCAGCAGTGTCTAAGGGGGTTGTTAATATTCATGAGGCATGTTCGAGGGCACATCAGACCAGGATTTTAAATTTTAATCTGAGTATAGCTGCACATTTTTTTCAGGTCATTTGAACTCAAGCCTGTTAGCTGCTTCTGCTTCTTCACAGAGCCTAAACTGACTAGAAGGAGCAGCTGGGTAGAGCAAAAGAGAGACCACCAACCTGGCCCATGGGGACCAAGAAAATGAATGGTGGGGCAAAATAAGGCAGAGAGTGGAGGAGAGGGGGTGGAAAACCAAGTGGGAGAGCAGAAGAAAACGTTTGAGATGAAAGGAATATGCTGAAAAGAGGCAGAGAAAACCCCACCAGGGACACTGATGTACCATGAGGTCCTCCCAGGAGAGGTGACACACCATGAGAGGGAAACAGAGAGAGCGACTGAAGAGGAAATGCCAAACAAATAAAAGCATAGACACAGGCAGGGGAACATGTGCCAGAGGGACGCAGAGGAGGACTCTGCTTGGCTTGCCTCTGTGGACTGCAGTCTGCCCTCGGGGTAGCTTGGAGCTCTTACTATCTCAATGAAAGCACAGGAACCAGTCCCGTTGTCCCATAATAACGGTATTGCTGAGAGCTGACCCGGTGCTTGTTGAGAGTGCATTTCCCCTAGGCAAGTTTAAGAGAGCATGCTTACATAGGATGGGCATTCAGTCACCTGCCAAGGTATGGCTAGAGAAGCTAAAAATATCTAAGTTGCGCAGGCCCTGGTTTTAATTGCCAAGACCAACTGATTTGCTTCTTAAACTGCCTACTGCCCAGGTAGACGGGCATGTTGGAGCCACTGAAGTCTAGTAGATCAGCTTTCCTCTTCATTTTTTGTCTAAAGAATCATGTATTTGAGGCATGGGAAACGAAATAACCGGAAGGATTGGTGACCTGAAAGATAGTGAAGGAATGCCTTAACCCACCATTAATATCTATTTATCAAGGGTGAACATTTTCACCACCTAAGTCACTTTGAAAATGGGACTTCAGCTTTTAAAATCATTTTGGTACTTCTCATAATATAACCCCAAAGTCGACTTTTAGGCTTTGTATTCCAAGATTTGAGCACACTCTTTTGCTCTCCATGTCTAGGCAGCTGCCAGCTGAGCTTGCTGACGTGAATGGTTTCCAGCTCAGTGTAGTGGCCATTTCAGAGCCCGTTCTGAGGTGCCCGTCTTTTTCCATGCACTGTAGAGGGAACCTGGGTGCCTAGCACAGGGGTCTGGGTCTGGTGCTGCCTCCTACCTTGGGGGTCTTTAAGAGGAGGCTTGATGTTTACCTGGCTGGGGTCATTTGAGCCTGGTTTTCGCTCCTGCCCAGGGCAGGGGGTCGGACTAGAAGATCTACAAGGTCCCTTCCGACGCTACAGCTATGAATCTATGAATCTATTCTGCTCTGGAGACCAGTTTTGGCCCTTTGAGACTGTTTAGCTGCAAATGTTTTATATGGATCATGCATTTGAATAGCAAGACGGTACAAATATTGTGGACAGACAGAGTTAGCCAAATCTCTTGCTATCGTATCTCTAGTGGGTTCTGCAAAACCAATCTCTAGCTTCCAAAATCAAGAGCTTCACTGTGATTACAGAACATATACTACTTAGCTGCGAGAATACTACCTTTTTTTTGGCTGGATCACCAATAACAAATTGTGTTCTGATTTGAACAGTCTCCTCCGTAGGAGATTTCCATGCAGGCTTTCATGACTCATTAATACCCATTGAGTCAGATTACTAATTTTTCTTTTCTTTCTCTTTTTCTCTTCTTTTAAAAGTTATTTTCAGAAGTTGGTCCCAATGACCAAAACTATCAGAATAATTAACAAAGCTCTGCCTTTTAACGCTGACTGGTTCAAAAGATCATAGTTACATTGCCCCAGCCTAGGACTAGGGGGAGAGCGGCCGTGAGATGCACCAGACTCACTCTGCATGCACCACCTCTCACCTGAAAGTGGTGTAGCGGGTTTTTTGTGGTAGTTGGATGCACACCATTTCCAAAGCTTATGGGTGCTCACCAGTGCCACACTACACCAGTTACACCACTTCTGCTTGGGGACAGAGTGCATGTGGGCAGGTGGACCGTGCCTTGATGCAGCAGTGTGCTCATGCTCAAAGGGGCATGTCATGTACACAATCAAAGCACTCTTTGTTTGGACGATGTGAGGACCAGTAACTCATCCAGTAATTTTTCTGTGCATAGGAAATCAGAGGGTCAGCTCACTCTACTCCCCCCCACCCCTTCCCTAATCAACCTATTAATTGGATGTTGGAGATGCTGGTTTAATTATTCCGCAGGACCTTCAAGCTGCCTACAACGAAGCATTTCCTAACACTTTGGGGAAGCCCTTTTTTTAAGTCTGGTGTGTTTGGGGGAGGAGAAGCTGTCAGTACTCTAATACTTTACCATGTTTTATACTTTCAGAAAATTCGTTTTCTGTCTAGCACACGAAACACAGAAAATTTTTCTGGGAAGAATGCTTATAACAAGCCCACGAGATATCAGGTAATAATAGTAAGAGCAAGAGCAAAGCTAAAGGTCTGGCAGTGAAAAGGGCTTGTTGGCAAAGATCAAATCTGTTGACTTACTGCGAGCTCCCATCTTGTGACTGGCCAAGCAATGACCAGTGCCAAATCAGAGGGAATGAAGGGCAAATAGCACTGGTGGGATTGTGCCCAAAATACTTCATGGTAGCTTAAGAGAACATGGTGGTATATTGGCTGCATTTAACACTAACACAGTTGCCATGTTAAATCCAGGCAGCAGCACTGAACCTAATGCAAGAAGTACTCCACATAGCCTCATTGCCCTAGACTCACATTGGCAGCATTTCATTTTGTCATGACACAATG